GGGGGGTCTTCCTCTTTTTCACTGACTTTCCATTTTACCAAGCATAATGGTCTTCTCCAGGGTCTGGTCCTTCCTGATAACATGTCCAAAGTGCATGAGAATAAATCTGGCCATCCTGGCTTCTAAGAAGCATTCTGACTGTACTTCTTCCAACGCAGATTTGTTTGTTGTTCTGCCAGTTCATGGTACTTTCAGTATTCTACACTAACACCATGATTCAAATGCATTGCTGTTCTCTGGTCTTCCATATTCATTGTTCAATTTTCGCATGCATATGAGGCAATTGAAAATCCCATAGCTTGTGACAGGCACTTCTTAATCCTCAGACTGACATCTGTTAAAGTTGAACACTTTAAAGAGGCCTTTTGCAGCAGATTTACACGATGCAGTATGTTGTTTGATTTCTTGACTACTGCTTCCATGAGCATTGATTTGGATCTAAACAAATTGACTCAATGGCACTTTACAACAACAACTTGTTCTTGAGGGATGTTGGTCTATAATTTTCTTTTTCAGTGATGGCCTTACCTGGTTTTGGTATGAGGATTATACTTGCTTCATAAAATGCATTCGGGAATTTTTCATCCTTTTCTATGCTCTGGAATAGTTTGAGTAAAATTGATGTCAGCTCGTCTGTGAATGTTTGGTAAAATTCACCAGTAAAGCCATCTAGATCTAGAATTTTTTTGTTAAAAGTATTTTAATGACCTGATTAGTTTCTTCTTTTATTATAGGTCTGTTCAAGTTTTCTACTTCATTCTGTTAGTTTAGATAGGTCTTGTTTTTCTAAAACTGTTTTCATTTCTTCTAGATTTTCAAATTCGTTGGAGTACAGCTCTTCATCGTACTCTGTTATTATCCTTTTTATTTCCATTGGTTCTGTTGTGATGTCACCCACTCATTTCTTATGTGTGCTGTTTGTGTCTTCTCCCTCATTTTTTTGGTTAGATTTGCCAATGGTTTGTCAGTTTTGTTAATCTTTTCAAAGAGCCAACTTTGTGTCTTAATTCTTTCTATTGTTTTTCTGTTTTCTGATTCATTTATTTCTGCTCTAATCTTTATTATTCTCCTGGTGTGGCACTGTGGGTTAATGCGCTGGACTGCAAAGTCGGTTTGAACCACATGGTTGGCGGTTCAAGCTCACCAGCTGCTCCTCAGAAACAGGGTTGCTATGGGTCGGAACTGACTCGACGGCACTTCACAACAACAATCTTTATTATTTCTTTTCTCCTAGTGACTGTATGCTTACTTTGCTGGTCTTTTTATAATTGTTGGAGATGTTGTGTTAATGTGTTGATTTGGGTTCTTTCTTTTGGGATGAACAATTTGTTGCTATAAATTGCCCTCTAAGCACTGCTTTTTCTGTGACCCAAAGGTTTTAGTATGTTGTATTTTGTTCTTATTTGATTCAAGCAATTTCTTAATTTGTTCTGTTACCCTCCGGAGTCCTGGTATAGTGCTGTAAAATAAACACTCAACAGCAAGGCAGGTTTGAACTTCAAGGTCGGGAGTTCAAACTCACCAACTGCTCATTAGGAACCCTATATAGTACAGACTTGACAGCACTCAACATTACCTTGTAGCTTTTAAGCAGGATGTTATTCAGTTTCCATGCATTTGATTGTGTTTGCTTGATCTTCCTATTGTTGATTTCTAATTTTATAGCATTGTGATCTGAGAAGATAGTTGACTTTTAAATGTCAAAAAATTGGTTTGACATTTAAAAGTTTCTGGAGACTTGCTTTGTGGCCTAACATATGGTCTATTCTGGAGAATGTTCCATGTGCACTGCAAAAGAATGTGTATTGTGCTGTTGTTGAGTTGAGTGTTCTGTATCAATCAATGAGGTCGAGTTGATTGATTGTGTTTAATTCCTCTGTTTTTGTTGAGTTTCTTTCTGGT